TCCCAGCTACTCGGGAGGCTGAGGCAGGAGAATTGCTTGAACCCAGGGGGCGGAGGTTGCGGTGAGCCGAGATCGTGCCATTGCACTCCAGTCTGGGCAACAACAGCGAAACTCTGTCTCAAAAATAAAATAAAATAAAATAAAAATAAATGTATGTTTTTGAGGGCTTGCTCTGTGGCAGGCCCAGAGCTGAGCTCCTCACACAAGTCATCAGATTACTCCCCAATGACCCCGAGAGAAAGGCTATGGTTCTTTTCATGTCCTGAGAGGAAACACAGGCCCAGAGACTCTGAGTGTCTGTCTCAGAGCCACACAGCAGAGCCCTGACTACCCAGAGCCAGCGTGCCCACGGATCAGGCTTGGTCCCCACCCCCAGTCCCACCCACCAGGTCCAGGTGGGCTCACACCTGGATGATCACAGAGACGTTGTCCTCCTCCTCCTGGACGAAGATGTTGTAGGAGCCGCTGACCACAGGTGCGTTGTCATTGATGTCCAGCAGGTGAATCTGTAGCGTGGTGGAGGAGGACAGGTTCCCACCGTCCGTGGCCTGCAATGTCAGGTAGTACACGGCCTGGCTCTCCCGGTCCAGCAGCTTGCCATTCCTCACTGTCATTGTTCCTGAGACGGGATCTACTTGGAAGAGGTCTGCCCTGCTCAGAGGGACCAGGTTTAGCAAATACAGACACAGGATGCCCACTTCAGTGTGAATTTCAGATACACAGCAACAAATATTCCAGCATATCCCATGTGGTATATGCAACATATTCATTATTTTAAAAAATCAGTCCTCGTTTATCTGAAATTGAAATGTAACTGAGTGCTTCTGGTCTTCCCCAGCTATCCTGGACCCTGCTCATCCACCTGCCCATGGCCCAACCTGAGCCCTTACCCGTTTCCTGGGAGCAGGCTATAGGTAATTTGGCCCCACGCGCCTGTGTCTGGGTCCGTGGCCTGTAAGGCAGAGACATGACAGGGAGCTGTGCAGAGGCAATGCACGCACCACCACCTATGCAACTCATGAGGACAGAGCTGTCGTGCTTCCTGACACAAAGGGAGAATCCCCAGCACACTCGGATTCACTCATGGCTACCCCCATCTCACACACACACACACACACACACACACACTCACACACACTCTCACACTCACACATGCATGCCTGTTTGCTGGGACCCCACAGCCCCGCCATGTCCACATCACTCACGTGGATGCTGCTGGTGACCACATAGCCGGTGGCACTATGCTCCGGCACTGTAAGGTCGTACAAGCTCTGGGGGAATGTGGGCCTGTGGTCATTAATGTCTCTAAGGTGGATGGTCACCATGGCGACGGAGAAGTTCTGGCTGACTGAGTCTGTGGCCACGACCTGGGGGCAGGGGAGGAGGCAGCGGCTGTGGGGCCCAAGTGCCCGCGGCTTCTGTCCCTGGAACCCCAGAGCAGCCCTCACCTGCACCGTCATCACCGTCTGCCTCTCGTAGTCCACCAGCTCCGATGATCTCACCAGCACCTGCACGGTGGCTGAGCCTGCTGCCCGCTCTGGGGAGACTCTAAAGGCTTCTGCATCGGGGCCCACCAGCGACAGCAGGAAGGTGCCATTGCTGCCCTGTAAAGGTGGGCTGTCTAGCAGGGACCCATCCCCTTGCTCTGCCCACCTGCATCTTCCCCCAGTCCCTGGCCCCAGGCTCCTGCCTCTGGACACCCAGCCAGATGAGGTCCTATAGAAAGGGGCTCTCAGAAGACTGCGAGAGAGGGTGCAGGAGGCTGGGCTGGTCACCAGTCCCTGCAAATGTGGGCTCCACAGAAGACAGCTCCCTAGGCACTGTGGGTCCCAGGCCTGGGCTAGAGCCAGGACACACACCCCTCACTCCTGTCAACCATCTCTCGCACCCACCCTTCACATCCCCCACCCCCCCACAACACCACCAAACACCACTCACACCCTACATGGCCCCACTGGCCAGTGCCATCCTTCTGGCCAACCTAACGTCACCTGACGCTGTCCTCCACATGACATTTTCACCTTCTCAGTATCTCCCAACACCCACACCCTCTGGAGTTACTCATCCTCCAGAGCCACCATGTTACCCACCTCTCACTGCAACCTCCACTTAAGAGTGCCCTCCCATGGCCAGGCGCAGTGGCTCACGCCTGTAATCCCAGCACTTTGGAAGGCCAAAGTGGGTGGATCATGAGGTCAGGAGTTCAAGACCAGCCTGGCCAACGTGATGAAACCCCATCTCTATTAAAAATACAAAATTTAGCCAGGCATGGTGGTGCATGCCTGTAATCACAGCTACTTGGGAGGCTGAGGCAGGAGAATCATTTGGACCTGAGAGGTGGACGTTGCAGTGAGCTGAGATTGGGCCATTCCGCTCCAGCCTGGGCAACAGAACGAAACTCCATCTCAAAAAAAAAAGTTCCAGCCGGGCGCGGTGGCTCAAGCCTGTAATCCCAGCACTTTGGGAGGCCGAGGCGGGTGGATCACGAGGTCAAGAGATCGAGACCATCCTGGTCAACATGGTGAAACCCCGTCTCTACTAAAACTACAAAAAATTAGCTGGGCATGGTGGTGTGTGCCTGTAATCCCAGCTACTCAGGAGGCTGAGGCAGGAGAATTGCCTGAACCCAGGAGGCGGAGGTTGCGGTGAGCCGAGATCGCGCCATTGC